ATGGCTGCAAATTTCAGAAACATGGCTCTCCACAGGGGACCCAGGGAAATGAGAGAGAACAACAGTATTGCAAGAAGTTGCCAAAAGGCTGCAGCTGAATTTAGAAACTGAGAAACAGTCAAGTAAGCCTTTTTCTGCTGTACAATCTGAAATATATAGATGATGTGGATTTCAAAGAACAAAATCCAGCTACTTTTGCACTGAATTATACTGTCAGAAACATGGCTCTCCACAGGGGACCCAGGGAAATGAGAGAGAACAACAGTATTGCAAGAAGTTGCCAAAAGGCTGCAGCTGAATTTAGAAACTGAGAAACAGTCAAGTAAGCCTTTTTCTGCTGTACAATCTGAAATATATAGATGATGTGGATTTCAAAGAACAAAATCCAGCTACTTTTGCACTGAATTATACTGCTCTTATGATTCCCTATAGATCTTAGCCAAAGAGGGTTTTAAAAGCATGAATGTCAAAATGTCAACCACACTGCGTCTTTCCACCTAAGTTCTAGCTCTTGTTTACATAAGCAAAATGCAGCCAAGGGTTTGAAAGGCCTGTCAGGGCAACTGAATAGAGCATGAATCATTTTGCTGGGCACTGCTCTAAATGCTGCCTCTTCCTTCCTCCTCATTCTCGAAGGTCAGATAAACGGTACCAGGAACTGCATCTGAAGCTCCTCCCTGCATGATAAAAGACAGGAATCTTTCTGTGGAGGCTTTGGATAACTGTAGTCATAAGCTGAAACCAGAAAACTCACCTTTGAGCTAACCATAGATACACATCTGCTTCTTATCAAGTGTCTTCCTCTCCCCCCCTCATCTTTTAACTTGTTTTTTGGTGTTTGAATCCGTGTAAATTTTTACCATCAGGAGGTAGGAAATAATGTTTACATAATCTAAGGCAAACACCATTCATAGAAGACTGTGAAACCTTCCACAATACTTTCCACTTGCTAATTAGCACCAAGCAGTGCATCATGCACTACACAGCCTACTCTCCAACAAGCAAACTCTATCCATTGGTCTCTACCTGTGGGCATTTGTGCAATGCATGTCTTTCAGGATAATGAAATCAAAGTGGGCTTCTGCCCTTCTTCAAAGCACTCAGGTGATTAGAGCCTCTGATCTATACAACTGCAATGGCAGGGTACTCAAAAAGAACAACACTTGATGCAAAATGGCATCCAAAACTGTAAATTTAATTATCTTTCAAGAAATAACTGCATCTATCATGCAGGCAAGATGCAGCTGTGGTGTACACACATTTTTCATGCTTCTCAGAGACTCATGTGCAAAAAGCATCAGGCTGTGATGTCCCTCAACGCTTCTCAGAGACCCATGTGCCAAAAGCATCAGGCTGTGATGTCCCTCAAATGTGAAAATGCAGATATCCTGGTGAGTTCATGAACTATCATGGACAGCAAGCCGCAAATTTAAACAAGAGTACATAGATTTTTATCACGTGAGGTGGAAAGTGATAAACATAGCGTGAAGGAAAGACAGAGATGTGACTCTGAGCATAGTGTTCGGACACTTTAAACATGTAAGAGAGATCTGCTAGTTGAAGGCAGAGTACTTTCCAGTTTCACAGAAAAAAGAAGGATAAGGTGTGATGGCTGGAAGATGCTGCTAGAAAACTGGCCTCAAAATATAAAATATTTTCCTAGCAGTGATGATAAATACTGGAATGTTTTCCAGGAGGAGTCATGCACTGCCACTTGAAAACACATGAAGGTACAGGGGTCTTTCATTCAGCTTCTGTGAGACCCATTACAGGTCACAACAGATGATTGCAGAGCTCCCCTCTGGCCTGACTCTCCATGAATCTGTGAATTTTACAGCTTCATCCTGTGGGGCCAAGGCATTTTGGCTCCATACCAGCAACGCACTTACGCGCATGCTGCACTGAAAGTTGGCTTCCTTTGGTGGAGCAGGGCCAGAGCCATCAGCCTCTTGCAGGATAGGCCACACCATCTTTAGCCATCTCAGCCTTCGACCACTTTGGGGTTTCTTTGCCACAGTAGCAATCAGAAGCTTGCAACAACAGGGGCCTGGAAATCTAAAACTTCCCAAGCAGGGGGATACTTTTAACTCTTTCTTATCTTGCATCTATTTTGTTGAGGTAAAAAGGGGTGAAAATGCCAGTGTAGAGTTTTTTAATTATGGTTTCACTGGGCAATAATTAGAGATCATGAAAGACAAATTAAGGCAAGCTAATCTAGGAAGATGAGCAAATAAAAAAGAATGCCTTTCTCCAATGACAAACTTAATGTAATTACTCACTTGTAAAAAAATAGGGATGAAATCAGTACCTCATGGCTAGAAATACATACATGCTGGAAAAACCTAACTTGAACCATTCTGAGTAGCAGCCTGGAAAGGATGTGAGGCTTTAGGAAGGTTCAAACATACACATATATATGTACACACAAACACAAATATGCATATAGAAATATTAAAACAATTAATTAACAAAAATTAACTGGAATACAGACAAAGTGTCCAAAAAAACTCTCTTCCATTCAAAAAAGAGGGCAGGAGATGCAATTTTTATGAAATAGAGGCCAACAGGGCAACAAGCAATCCCAAACCTATCTGGTCTAATTGGATATTAGTTAATTAAATTATTATATTAAATTATTGAATTAAATTACTTTAAAACTTCTACCTTTCCTTCTTAAACTCAGCATGACATCCTTTGAAGCTGCCATTTACTTTCGGGTTGTAAGAGACGGTTAATTTCTGGTGGTCCAAATCTCTTGCCGAGAATATCTTACATGTATCCATAACATTTTGCTATATTTTTTCTTCTCCTAGCACCTTACACAATTTAAAAGAGTATGTTGATTGTTCAAAATACAGCTTTTTTGTTGCTGGTTTGTGCTTTTTCCCCCCTTTTTAATTTTTTTTTGAAGTGAACTGATAACTGGTAGGTCATTCTGAGTTTGCTTTACCTATAGAAAGAAATGTTTTGCCCTTAATGAAATACAATGAGATATATCACATATTTTAAGAAAGGACAAAATGATGGCCTAGGAAATTCTGAGCTCAGCATGTTTCCAAGATTTTTTTAGTTAAGATGATAGAAGTCAAAATAGCTCTATCTGAATTTATTTTAAAAAATAAAAAGAAAGAAAATGTGCTTTAATTCACCTTTTAATACTTAGAACAGCAAGTGTGAAGCAACTCTGCATTATCTATTTAAGCAGAAGAAGCAGAAGTGAGATGGAAATACACCCAGCCCTTAACAACAAGTCGGAGAAAGGCTTGAGAATGAGTGGGAAATGAACACGTTTAGAGTTTTGCCCATTTTCTATCCAAAAATTAGAAAAAAATCTGTTTGGAAGCTATTTCCAGTACCTATTTAGAACAGCTTACATTTATCTCCATCCGGTCTACAAAGGAACTGTTGTCAAAATACTGATTAATTTACAAACCTGTCAGATTTGGTCTCTTGAGACGGTGACAGAGTTGTCCCATAACGAGTAGTGGGTGTTGTAGGAGCACTCACACCAGCATAAGGTCGTGGAGAAGAGTAAGAGCTGCTGCCATAGCTATTGTACCTGAGGAAATGGGAAGAAAAGTAGGAGAAAGGGAGAGACAGAAAGAATCCATCAGCAAGCAGGCATGGAACAGTAAATCCTCTTGTTTATGGGGTGGTAGTGATCCCATACCCCAGAACTTGGCAAACATTCACCTTCAGGAAATATTGCTCTATTTCCAGTTTCAAAATATACAACCTATCATGTAATTTTAATATCAATCATGTCATGAACAGACTTGATGCAAACAGTGAACTATTGGTAAGTAAAACAATGGGAGGTCAGAATAGTCCTCCCAAGTGACAACTCAGAGCAGGAACACCTGAATTACTGCTTAGTTACTCAAAATTATTAGCTGCTTTGGGAGCCAATATCCAGCCATTAGAAAAGGGATCAAACCAGTACAAGTCAATATTCTCCATATCTAGTGAAATTAAGGAAAACAGCACCGTTCCTGAGACATGGTATGAACATGGACATCCGTGATTTGCAAATGCTTGCATTATAAACAGAAAGCAAGCACATCCTTTTCAATTAAATCCAGCAGTATTTTATTTCCCCTCTCCCAACGTAAGTCATAGCTTATGCGCCATTTCTTACAATGTCTGTAAAAAGTCATCACCATAGTTAAAAAGACATGTTTCTGGAAGCACAGCTTCAGAAAATTCTATCAGCCCTCATAAACTCAGTTGACTTCAATGTGAGCTTGCTGATCAAAGAGAAATTGCTTCCAGGACTCCTGGAACGGCCACCTCCCCAGAGCCCCTTCTATCAATGTTTTCATCCTGGGTCCTAAACTCAATAGAAAAGGCAGTTGTGTTTCTCTGCTGTGCCTTTTAAACATTGCACTTACACAGCATGTCATGGGGAGAGTCCTGATTTGGGAAAATGTTAATATTTCTGTTCACAGACAATGCCATTTTTGCACACGGACCAACTCATCCAAACGACAAAATTCATTTCAGGAAACAGGGCAACATCATTTTCCAACATAATAACATAACCTCTTTCACCATATCCTTTTCATGCCACTTCTTCCCTCCCATATATCAGCACTCAGTAATTTCACTCAGCAATTTTATTTGAAAAGGCTGGTTGGTTTCCTTCAGCTCCATTTAGCACACTCATCTGGCCATGAAAAATTTCATTCAAAATTTCAAGCATCATCCCTTAGGGTTTAACAGCATTGCTGTCTGCCAAGATCCATGCTAAAATTGGAATAGATTTCAGTTAGGTGCTTTTATAATGGAAGGGATCATTCTTTAGAGAGGATACCCTCTTGGACAACAATTCCAAGATTATGTTTTAGAAAACACCCTACCTCCACTATCTATTTTTGAGATACCATGCTGACTGCCCAGCAACAGGGGAATCATTTTGGAAAAAAACCCTAACATGCATATTTCTGAGCTACAAAGGGAATTTTCCAGGAAGCAATTGCGGTCCAAGCCTAGAAAAAAAAACTTAACTAGAAACTGGAGACAGTGGCCTGCTGGATGGCTGTGTAACTGGACAGTGTGGAGCTTCCCTGGTAGCACAGACTTAGGCTGGGTCTTCTGTCTGACAGGCTTAGCCCAGAAAATGTTCTGCCTGTGCCTGTACTGAGTGAGCGATGAGAAAACTCCATTGTCCTGATAAGTACCCAGAGCTCATTTGGTATGTTCCTGACACTGACAGAAACCTTAATTTCCATTTCGATCAACTGAAAGAAGACCCTCTTATCAACCACTACATTCGATTTTCTTCTTCTCTGCCCTGTGCAAAGGCTGACAAAGCACAGAACCCTTTTTCAGACCAAGGCATTTCAATTACTCCAGAGATAACTTTCATGAAAATGGAGGGAACACACCTCCTATGGACTCAGACCTGCAACTATTAACAAAATCAAATTCAGAGGGACTGCTCTGGACATGGCATCTCTACATATCAAATTTAGAGGGAGACAAAGATGTTGGAAGAGTAGCAAGACAAAACCAGCACACCAGGGTAAATCTGTATCCTGTACACAATGTTTATGTTTCCAACCTTCATATGGTCGTGGCTATTACTTCCATTTTCCCTTCTTGTCTCATACATCAATGTAGAAGCAATGGCCTTATCCCAGAGCCTTCACTCTCAAGAAATCCCAGACACTTACCTCTTTTATGGACACAATACTGTGTAAATTGTGCAAGCTTTACCCTCCTTTTCCTCCAAATAAACCCAGCAGAATCCTCCCCCACACCACACCCTTGATCCTGTGTAGTAACTAGAAGCACAAAGGATGGTCAGAGGGGAAAAAATCACTGTGGAAATACTAAGTATTGCAGGAATAGGATGCATTTAGGGGTCTACTCTCTAAAGTATGACAGCAACAGCAATGGGAGGGAAATAAATGGGTGTGAGAGGTCTAAGGGAAAATTGCATCTATGAAGGAAAATGTAAATTTAGAGGAATCCTGTTGTTCAAGTTGCAGGTAAGGAAAAATATGTGAACTAAGTCCCTTGTCAACAGCTACTTGGATTTACAGGCTTTTCGGCGAAACGAAAAAGCGACAAAACACACCCACCTATTAGAAGAGAAAGACCGAAAATTAAAAGGATCAAAGGAATCAAAATATTTGTTCACATGCAGAAATTCAGAAGGACTGCTGGAGAGAGTAAGAAATAAATACGCATACAATATACATGTAACGTTTTCAGCACCTAAGTCAAGGAACACTGACAACACTGAGAGAGAGCTAAAAATCATCAATCAACCTTTTATCAAAGTGATTCTCTGGGAGAGACAGCTAAAAATCACCAATCAACCTTTTATCAAAGTGATTCTCTAGCATTGCTTTTAGTGTTACTTACTGTCAATCTGTTTTACTTGAAAACAGACTGAGACAAAATATCTTTTTTAATTTTAAATGGGTGGCATGGGGAAATTGCATTTAAAAACTAAGACACATACATGAGGAACAATTGAACTGAGCAGATGTTGTGGAGGTAAGGCTGTCTATTCTGAGTCCTATATTATCTTTATAGGGTTTAAACCAGATCTCTTATTACGAGAGTGAATTGAAATTGCACATGACGTGGACATGCACTGCAATCTAAGAACAAATTTGGGATTTGGCAGTTCAGCCTTTGAAGCCAGGATTTCAACCCTGAATTTCAAGTGCTGATCTGACCTCTCTTGGTTTTATAGCAGAAGAGCTCCGCTAACTTTCATGAAATCATGTCTACGAATTACATTGTTGTAAATGAGAGCAAAATGCTGCTTCTCTCTGTGATCTCCCAAATCAAGGGCTATTTCTCCACTGGTCTTTAGAGGAGGCCAGGATACTTATTATCTAGAGACTTTGAAGAGGAGCAAGATGAAATTAAGGCAACAAAGGCAAGGGGAGAATATCAATCAAGTCAAAATACAGGCTTACAAGACTAAAACTAATACAGTATGTTCTGGAAATAATACAACACATAGAGTGCATTATTACCACTATAAAACTCTTGAAAAGTGTTACTCATTTATCTAAAAATTAATATCAGCTGTATAAAATCTACCTGTTTTCCCTCATCATTTCTGCTTCCTTCTCTTTCACAGATGCTGGAGACTCTTCAAAGTCATACGAGAAGAGGTGAAAAGGAGTATGTGGTACATAAGGTAATTTCTCCACCGTTGGAGATGCCTTTGGAGTAATGGATGCTGATGAATTTTGGGGAGAGCTCAGCAATGCTGTCGCAGGTGAAGATGGTGATGAAAGGACAGAAGTATGATGGGAGATAGATGAGTCAGGCACAGAAGAGCTGCTAGAAGAGCTCTTTGCTCTAGAGAAGGACAGAGGCCTCTCAGCAGGAGAAATGGCACTGGAGACAGCTGAAGAGTCATGACACTGTGAAAAGCTTTCATTCACAGCCTTCTGCACATCTGGAACCTCACTGTAGAAGGAAAATATCATGAGAAAGGGAAGAGAAGGAGAGACAAATGGAGAAAAGAGAGATCAATAGATAATAACACTTGGAGGGAGGAAAAATCAAGTCAAGGGAAGTCAGACTAAGAAAAACTTCAGAAATTTAGACAATCATCACCTCCTTTTAAATAAAGTAAGAGACCTCATATATTTGCATCCCAGTGGGATTCTTCTTGGAGTTGAAAATACTGAGGAATGGGAGTGACCCAGCTTAAAGGAAAGGAGAGGATTTAACCTACAGGCTTTGGAACTAATTTTCATGAATCTTTTCACAACTCTTTTATGAACAATTTTCATGTATTTCAAGTTAGCTTATAAGCATTGTCAGAGCAGTACAAAGCAGACTCAACACAATGGATAACATGGTCCATAAAGTATAGAGGCTTCAAGATACAGTCTGCATGACTGCTTCTTGAAGGCCAGATACTTGAGTATCATCCTGCCTGGGGATCTGATCTTTTTACTAAAAATGCTCATCCACTAAAGATGAAAATTAAAGAAGTACTCAATCAGCAATGTTCTGTCAAAATTCAGGTTTAGAATGATCTCAAAAGCAACACCTTACCAGATCATTTGTCTAGGTATGAAGGCACTAATTTCCCTGAGTGTCAGCATCCCATGTTGGTGTTAGAGACTTGGAGAGTTACATCAAGGGAAACAGAAAACACATCTGTTTTGCCCTGCTGAAGGCAGATACTGTTGAGTGACAGAAGGCACAAGGCAGGTGAAAAGCCATAGGATCTGCACTCCAGGATATCCATTTCCTTTAGTAACTCCAATATAAACACTGTGCATGGGCTTTGAGCTGGCAAGTGGCTGATTTTATTCCCCTGAGACCACCTCTGTAATCCACCAACAGGCATGGAAGGCATGGCCCTTTTCTGAGGACTGTGGGTTCGGCACAGCATACGCAACAAAACCACAATACATGTCATATATGTTGGAATATTATTAAGTTAATCATCAGGTATATACCAGGTAATCGTTCTCATAACAGAAGCACAGTGGGCAATCTGGAAACCTCAATCTATTGCACCTGCTCAGCACGACAGGAGATACTGAATCCAGACTAGTCCTGCCCCTCCTGAGAGCATCAAACATGAATGGCCAGGGTACTGGTCATTTTTGTTGTGCTATAGTGACAGTGAAAGGAGATATTTAGAAAAAGCGTGGGAATATCACACAGTTATCTCAAAGTGATTAGTATTTTAAAAGACTGATGACCTAAAACCACATTGTGATCTCTACATGGCTCTTCCTTGCTTTTTCAAACAGTATTTTAGTATATTCATGTGATTTACTAATAACTTGTGCCTTTGCTTTGACTTTTAAGAATCAGATTTGAGGAAATTATCACTTAATTTTGAAATTTCAGGCAGCCATTGGCAAGATTTTCAGACTGGAAGATATTAACAACAACAGTACAGTATTTTCATTGGAATTCACACATTAAACAGTTTCCTTTCTTCCTTCCGTGCTGTACAGTGTCTGCATTAATGTGGTTTATTTAAAAAAAATCCAATCTCATTTGCTGAGTTGCAAAGCCAAACAATTTAACCTAAATCAAATGCCTGTCTGGAACAAAAAACGTGTTTTCTTGCTTCCAGTTTATTAGGATCAAGTTGCCAAATGCCAAACACATATATATCTCAGAAATCAGTGGGAAATTTTACATGAGAATATGGATAGGTGATTTGCTTATATCTACATATACACAGATGGGCAGGTATTTATGAAATTATATATGTATGTATATACACATATATCAGTTCTGCTTCAAAGTAGTTCTTTGCTATTAAAACATGAAGAAAATTGATAGAAAGGAAATCATTTGGGTACAAATTGAAAGGGGAAATTTATGCTAGACATTAGGAAGAATTTTTTTTACTGTGAGGGTGGTGAGGCACTGAAACAGGTTGCCCAGGGAGGCAGTGGATGGCCTATACCCTGGCAGTGTTCAAGGCCAGGCTGGATGAAGCCTTGAGCAACCTGATCTAGTGAGGAGGTGTCCCTGCCCATGGCACGGCGGGTTGGGACTAGATGATCTGTAACGTCCATTCCAACCCCTAAAACTCTGTGATTCTATGGTTCTATGAAATCATAGGCAGCATTAAAAAACTGCCAAACTACTGCACAGCAATAGATATTGCTAATAAAGTGGTATTGTGAAGATAGGGATGAAAACCTAAGAAACCAAGCAATATCCTCAGCAAACCATTGCAAGGTTTCACCATTGCCTTAACTGAAAAGATAAACTTAAGCCATGCTTAGAAGTTATGCTTTCTGCTATAACTTTTTAAGATTTGTGAGCATTACACAAAGGGAGAGTGCAGACAGTTCTTAGTGCATTGAACCCATATAATTAAACAAATAAAACCCATTAACACCAACCCCTCCCCAGAAGCTTTCAAATGCAAAAACATTTCCTTAGGGGGTGGCTTTAACAGGTGATCTAGGAATGTGAGTAAAAAAGTAGATGTTGCTGCACACTGTGCTGGTGAGTTCATGCCAGAGGCTGAGGAAAAGCTGGAGGGACAATGCTGAATCCTGGTACCTGGCTTTGACCTGCCTATTGGCCTCTTCCTCCCCCTCATCCTCAGTATTGGGCTCTGTGACTGGCTGTTCTTCTTCCTCTTCTTCATACTCGTCCTCTCTGAGGTCAGACCAAGGAAAGAGGCATGCAATGGAATGGAAAGAGAGAAGGTGGAAGAGAAAACAACATGAGTCCCCACAAAAAGAAACACAATGAAGTTAGAAATGGAAGGAAAACACAGAGGAGAAGGGAGTTACGACCCCCCTATGTCAGAAAAAAAGCCACCTAAACCTTCCTGCTAAGTATGCACTGGTACATAGGTAACTACCAATACAAAAATATTATCCTCACTCCTATTTATATTTTTATTGTTCATTTTAAAGATACAAAGATTCCATCACTTTTTCTTGAGGTTGGCTTTCCATTTGCTGCTGCCCTACCTGCAGAGGCATAAAGGGAAAACATTCATGACAATGCCAATGTTCAATTCATTAGTCATTAAGTTGTGTCTTTCTGGCTTAAAGGACAGTACACGCTGTGCTGGCAAGGGACAGCTGGCACTGGACATCAAACTTTCTAAATTAACACAAGCAAAACATTCCTGTTTAGCAACCAATGAAAAACAGAACAGGCTGAACCATTGAGTTAGAAATAACAGAGAGACGAAATCAGTTCAGGACTATTTGCAAATAGCAATATTTAAGTTATCAGCTGCCAGTACATGAATTATTTCAGTAGATTCATTAGTATGGTCAAAGGAGCCTTCGGTTCAGTGGCAATTCTGGCAGAAGAGAATTGTAAGTCATGCAAAAAGCCTCCATAACCTACAAACCACATAAGTAAAAAAGAAAACTATATTAAATGGAATAAAGAAGGCTACATTGTCTGCCTCCTCTCCCTCCCATCTATGCTTTTTCCTCTCCAAACCAAGGACTCACAGAAGACTTAGAAAATATTCTCTCTTTAGACTTCTTTTGCAGTTGCAGTTGATACAGTCCTCCACTTGATTTAATGATGTATATCAGTAGGTTATGCTCCATGCAGAAAAGAAAATATACAAAGAGTAATAAAATTTGTAAGGCAGTTTCCTGAAAGCTTGTTTTCTTTCCTAGTTCTGAAGGGATGGTCTGTTGATTTTTTCCATTTAGAATTAATTTCCATGTTCTAGGAATAAATGAGTATTTACAATGTGAGATCATGAACTCATTGAGTCAATCCAAAATTTGTTGCATTTATATGGAATTACAGAATAATCAGAAAAATGGCAGCACCTGGAAGTTTTCCAATACTCTGGCAAGCATCTACAAGGTAACACTTTCAACCACTCCTAAAGTGGCATAGTGACATGACCATCTCAGTTGTCATCTCTTCATCTCCCTGTCCTCTCCACAAACATATACCTCTCTTACAAAGACACCTCTCAGCTTCCACACAGGCATATATATATTGGTATACCAAAACCAAAGAAAAGCAAAAGCATTCAAATAATCCCTTCCACTACAAGGGGTAGCTCAAGACTAGCTTTGCTATTATCTCCTGCAAAGGGAAATGTCTGCATCTGCTATTGCCTATATGCACCAGAGCGACCCTGGCATTACTGTGTTTAAGTTCCCACTATGTTTCCAGATTGATGATGTCAAAATTTATCCTCTCCTCAATTGTCTCAAAAATGCCCAAATTTGTAAATGAAATTATAATCTGATATGGTGGATCTTATAAATTTGAAAGGGTTCTTTGAGAATTTATTCCTTCACATGAGGGGTTGGTAGTAAGGACATGAGTTTATACAGTGTGGATTGAAGTGGGAATCACTGAGTTATAACTGAACCGAACAGAGAAAGAAGCTGAAGACAAATTTTAGAGATTCCAGTGACATCATTCAGGCCAATGAATCTTTTCTCATGTCTTCTTGACTTCTGAATCAAAAGCTTAGAAGAAGCTTTGATTGGAAAGCTCTTTTCCTCTGCTAATATTAACTCTAGGAGGACAGCAACTACACGGCAATTGGATGGAAAAGCTGGAGGAAGGAGCTGGCTCTGTGTGAGTTAGCTGCAGAGATGGCTGGTGGTGTTGACAGAGCAGGCAACTCCCCAAACTGGGGCAGCCAATTTGATCACAGGAAACTTGCACGATGGAAATGGAGAAACACTCAACACCTGGAAAGTCCTGTTTCAGCAACCAAACTCACAGTTTCAGACCCCTGAACTATCCCTAGGAAGGGGATCAGATACAGGTCGGAGGAGAGGGGTAAGCTCACAGGCAGGAATATAGAATGATGTGTGCTCATCATTTAACCAAAGCAATAGTGGCAGCTGTTTCTCAGTCTTGTTAGAGAACAAATATTCTGCCCATAAAAACAGGTAGTACCTGCTAGTTAAATCTTTCCTAAAATGTAGAAAAGGAAAATTTCCATGCGAATATTAATTTAAACAGGAAAACACTAACTGTAGACAGATGATGTTCAACTACAGTCAGGTGCTCATACAGAACAGAACAGTGAATTTATCTGGACTCTTCTGGGTTATGTGTTCATTTTCGTGTGCAGTGGAGAAGGGATGATGTGCAAAAGCTCACTGTCCCTCCCATGTACGTAGGTTAATTTGGTGTCAGTGCAGTAGTAGAATTAAGAGATATGATTCACAGGGAGGTTTCCAATTAAATGAAGTTGCAGAAGTCAGCATTTTTTTCAGTAGCACAGAGGAATCTATCTTGTTTAACAAAAAGCAAATATTTACCCTGCGGCAGGGAGGAAGGGCTTCAGCTAATGCTGAAGGTTCAGATATATTCAGATAACCTTAAGGCTATTCCTGGGTTACTTCAGTTCCATGATAACAGTATCAGATTACAGTATTTAAACAAAAGCTTTATAGCACTGAAAACAAATTTCAAAACAATCACTGTGTTTATTTTCATCTTTAAAATGGTTTACTGATACAGGCTAACACCCCCCAGTAAACATATAAACAAAACCCCAAACCCCCACAAATCTTTATAAAGTATGTCATCAGTCATGGCAATTAACAAGCATCTGCTAGGGCACAGGTTTTTGCTCAGTTGTTTCAGCTAAAGTTTCAGCTAAAGCCCCTTAAAATAACCTGCATGTTAAAAAAGACTATGAAAGTGCAGTTTATCAATAGAGAACCACTAGGGCAGGAAAATGAAATCTAGGCAACGGGTTTAGAACTAACGGATTAACCTTCCTCCTTTTTGAAATAAATTTTAAAAAAAAGAAATTAAAAGAGTGCCAATCAGACTTGTCCAGATGATATTAAATAGCTACTCAAAGCTGCAGAGAGACAAGCACTAAGAAACACAGATTGATGAAAGGAAATTATAATAAAGGGACTCATCTACAAGTTTAGCTGAAGGCAGCTGAAGTCTGTAAGGTGCCAGGCATCATACCTCACACACCCAACCTAGTCACAGCTAGAAGATTTTAAAACTAAGGCACCACTCTGAAGACAATGACTCTTACTCCACAAGAACTTAAAGCACCAAAAAATGCTCTCTGTCTCACTGAAGACGAGGGATATGTACAAGGTTGTGTAGTCTCTGTCCTCTCCAGGCTCTCCCCAACCTCCTCCCTCTGCAGTTTTGATGAAGGCAGCTTGAAGGAACTTAGGCTTTCTTTGTTCTAGCTTGTAACACAGAAACACAAGTTTCTCACTTTCCCTCTTCAAAAAAATCCCAAAGGTAGAGCTAATAGAAAAATCAAAGGCTGTGCTGAATGAACAACAACAACAAAAAAAACCAAAACCAGAAACACCATAAAACATCCCCATCAACAAAATAAGCATGAACACAGAAACACATTCAGCTCTGGTTGGTATCAAAGGAAATTTGTAAAGCTTAAGATGTGCTTTAAATAATTTCAAATCAGAATTTGACCACTAATGCTTGAGTATAGAACAACAGTTAGAAGGATGGTCATCCCATAATTAAGCTACCAACATTTTGGTCTGCACATACAATGCACATATAAGTTAATAATGAGATAACAGCATGTGAAAGTATCTTCCTTTTGGTATATGATTCTACTTTGTATAGGGCTCATTTAACCTTTCTAAAGCCCTACTAAATATTTCCTTCTTAATATTGCAGCTTATTGGACAAGGCTCTAAGTGTACTTCTGAGCCTTTTGCAACCATCCTCTGATTTACATAGAAATTCCCAAGAAACATGAACATTGCACTTCAGTGAAAAAAGGAATCTTGGAGTTTTGAAGTGACCCAGAGAAGAAAGGACTGCAGAACTGTAAAGCTATTTCCACACTCTGAAAATGCTCCTGCATGCCATTAAATATTGATGAGGAATCTTCTCCCCCTTTCTTTTTGTAATTAAGTCAAGTGCTTTTCAGTTTAGCTTCTCTAAATTACTTCCATTTAACTTTTCACTGCCTTTGATGACCCAGCCCTGGAAGTGTTCAAGGACAGGTTGCATGGGGCTCTGAGAAAGGTGTCCCTGCCCTTGGTAGGGGGACTTGGAAGTAGATGATTTTTAAGGTTCCTTTCAACCCAAACCATTTTGTGATTCTATGACTAGGAGTGCAGGCCACATTCAGTGAAGTAAGACCACCATTAGCCATTCCACAATATTATTCTAAATGAAATACAACAGCTGATCTCACATTTTTTCCTTTCAAGGTTGTTTCCCACCCCTTTCTTTCAAACCCCTGCCCTGTCTTACCTCTTGCATAGCACTTTGCAAGCTGCATCCTGAAACCCCCACAGATGAACAAAGAGAAATTGAAAAATATTCCATCAAGGAAAGATATTTACAAGTCACAGTGGATGTAATTTTATTTTCTCTTGCCATTGCCCTCAATTTATGAGTGAACTTCCACTTTTGTAGGTTAGACAACACAATTCATAGCCAAATTCCTATGTCCTTGTAAAACAAATAAATGCTTTGGTACACTTCTGCTGCTTCTATCTTTCTTCTGTCCTAGCTGCCAAAACCAATTCAACTCATCTTTTATGAGAAAGCTGAAAGTGGTAGTAATTTACATTCACCATTTATTACTCTGTATAAAGATATGGAAATACACTTTCCTCCTCCATTAAAAACAAAACTAAAGAAACCACCTGAACTCTGCCGTCCATTTCCATTCCACTGCTA